TGTTAATCTGGGAGAAGGCGTTAGGCACTTCGGAATTCCGTGGTTCTAGCACGGTCATTTTAATTATTATACCTGGCTTAACCAATTCTGGATATTTTAGGTTCTAGGGAACTTTGTGCACTTTTGTCTTAAACCGCTTTTAATTGCTTGATTATTTATAATTATGAAATTATCTTGAAACGAATCATGCGTACGTGTATTCGTTTTGTTTAGTGTGTCATGAATCATGTCACGCGGACGTGTACATAATTAATAACATTTTATTATTTTTAAGATTGTTTTGTCAAAGTTGCGCGAATGCATTCTTTGCCTTTAATTTGGGAAATCGTAAATATGTCACGTGAACGTGTACATAATCACAATAACTGATTGGTTAACACACACCTAAAGCATACTAGCATATTCAGAGTATTCCATTTATCTTTTCTGATCCAAGACATTTATTTATATGCATTTTTCCTTTTACTTATTGCTACGAGCCTTGAGTTAATTCGTAATTCATCTCGCTTTCTCATAACCTTTTAGCACTTGAATTATAGGATATTAAAAGAGTTTGAGTTAGTTAACTAATTAATTGCTTTGGAATGCAAGACTTGATTATTAATCCTAAGTTATTTTATAAGACCAATCCTTGGCATACTTAATTTCTCATCGATTTAAGCTCAGCCTTTCATTCTTTATTAATTCAAACCTAAACTTGCTAAAAATATTTAAGAGCAACTAAAGTTTAATCATCTTTTGCAATTTTTAAAATTATCACTACGATTAAACTATTTAATATGTTACTGTTACTATTACTTTCTAAAGATTTAAAAGTGAAAATTAAGCAAAGAAGTAAAATTAACTAGCTAAATCATCTTAAAACTAAATCACATACAGAATATTTAATATGTTATACTAGAAGGACATTCACATCACATATATACTAATTAGAGTACTTCAACCTATACTAAAGTCTGCAATTTGCAAAAAAGAAAGTCCTTATGCGAAATTTTATATGGATTTCTACATTGAAGGTAAATCAGTTTTATTATCATTATTTTTTACGATGCAAAATTGAAAACTTTTTAAGGACTAATGGAGACCTCTGAATTAATATATATATTTTTCTTACCCATGATAAGAAAATATAAAGAAACGGGCAAACTGTGAATCTTCTTCTTCAAAAATACGTTATCCATTTAGCTAAAGGACCATCTCAACTTCTGAACAAAAATTAAATCAAACAGTAGGTATAAGATACCTTAGCAATACTTTAACCAAACTTTAAGAATGATATTCTCATTTTTTATTTAACAATCTTTACGAAAACTGGTAAAAATTATTATATACTAGAATATAAAATAATAAATACTTAGTGTTGTATAATAAAATACTTCCGACAATTAATTTTTAACTTTAGCAGCAAATGAGTATTCAACTAACTATAAGTTATTTAGCACTATCTAGGGTATCAGAATCACGTTAAAAAGAAACTAAGGAGATAACTAAATAATAAAAATAATATTAAATAAGATAAACATCACATTAAACATTAAAAGCACACAAAATACATACAAATTAAAAGGCTGAAGAAACAAAGATAGAGGATATGAACCTTTGCAGAAGCTTTCAAGAATATAAAAGAACACCCAGCAATAACAAGAAAACGGTTGAAGACAGCAAACGTAACTCGGATCCGAAACTCGAAATCCAAACTCCGTCTCTTTCAAAGAAAAACGTTTTTCTCTTGATCCTTCTCACTTAGTTCTCTGTGGAATATAATCAATGGCTTCTTCTCCGTATATGTGAAAAATTCCTCTTTAATATAAAGTGTATGCCAACTATATATAGAATGTGTGTGCTTAAAAAGTGATGAGTGGAGGAGCAGGCAATAAGATGTGAGGGAGAGGGGGCTGATGGTGTGTGTGTGAAGGAAAATGGGGATATGGCGTTGGGACATGAGGAGTGCTGTGTGTAGGTAGTGATTAGTTAGATTGAAAATTTGCTAATCTTTTGGTTTCATTTTCGTTTTTTTTCCTTTTTTTTGTTTTTTTCTTTAAAAGATAAAATATAAAGATAAGATAATTAACTAACTAATTTTTAGACTAAAGTAATATAGGCAAACTAAATTATTACACTATAATTTAAATGACACCCAAAATATACTAAAGCTAAGCTAACTTATTTACTATAATTCTAATTAAAAGAAACCATATATTTTTGTAAATTTTCTTTTTCTCTTTATAAATAGAAATAAAATTTATACTATAAGCATGTGAATATTTTTTTGTAATTTTAACTTTTCTCAAATAAAATTTAAAAAATAATATAAAAGTTTAAAATATCAAGATTAGACCTAGAAAAACTATTTACACTAAAATAGTATAGAATTCGGGTGTGGTCAAAACTTAGTTGTTCACCGCATGCCCCTCTTTGCTTGGAAACATGAAGAGTTTTCAGGCAAATAAAATGAAGAAGGTGACTGATTTTTAACCTCACTATTATTTAAAAAGGAAAATAAGATAAAAGAAACAAATGTGACCGAGCATTGGTTTTAGGCAGCCTAATATCCCGAGTTATAAGAAAATTAGGTCACGTATAGTTCAAGTGGAAGAAGAGTGATGGAGTATGCTTAGATGCAGAATCGAGCGAAGTTCCGCCGAGGTTCCGGTCAGCGGTTCCTACTATTACAGCAAAATGAATAGAAAATTACATACTCTTGAAATCTAAGAGTTACAAAATTCCAATCTAAAAGTCATCTGGCGTCTAGTCTTGATTCTTGAGTTACTTCTCCCATTGACTTTAGACTGAAAGTTGATGCTCTCGATGCAACAGACTATGAAATATTCTCACAAGCTTATTTCTTGATCAGATGATGAGAAAATGGATCTTGAGACCCTATGTCTTTGCATGCATTATGTCGAAGTTGGTTGCGGCTGATGTTGAGATCAAAGGTTCCATTTTCTTTTGGCAAGAGCTGGAATCTTATTTTTGCACATCCAATCCGCGCTTTGCAGAAAAACCTACAAGCCATCACAAACAGACAAAACGAACAAAAGTTTTTTGCCCCAGTTTGCACTAGGAAATTTTTGTGAGTTATGGAAAATACATTAAACTATCTTTGCTATTGCAGAATAAAGAATTGAAAAAGACGTTTTTTTTTTTGGATAATAAGGGATGTCGTATCCTATATTAATAAGATGGATGGCAACCAAGGGATGTAGTATGTTAGCAATAAGATGAGGCTCATGGCACTCTGAGATGCAACTAGGGAATATCGTGCCCTATATTGGCAAAAAGTAATGCAGCCAAGGGGTGTAGTACCCTGTGTTGGGAATAAGATGAGGGTCGTGGCACTCTAAGATGCTACTAATGTAGTACTATGTGTTTGGAAGTATGATGAGGCTCGTGGATCTCTGAGATACTACTAGGAAATGTTGTACCCTATGTTGGCACTAAAATGCAACCAGGGGATGTAGTACCTTGTGTTTGGCAGTAAGATGAGGCTCGTGGCTCTCTGAGATGCTACTAGGGAATGTCATACCCTATGTTGGCAAAAAGTAATACAACCAGAGGATGTAGTACCCTGTGTTGGAAATAAGGTGAGGCTCTTGGCTCTCTAAGATTCTACTAGAGAATGTTGTACCCTATGTTGGCAATAAAGTAATACAGCCAGGGGGTGTAGTACCCTGTGTTGGCAATAAGATGAGGCTCATGGCACTCTAAGATGCTACTAGGGAATGCCGTACCCTATGTGAAGATAGTGTATTGAGTCCCTATAATTAAACTAAAAATAATATGATTACATGTATATTGGAAGAAAATCAAGGATTTGAGAACTTCACTTAGTGATGTTCGTCTTTTCACGAACTATTTCCTAAAATTGTTAAGTTCCTGTTCTGAACAAAGAAAGATTCATTAGTTTTAAAATGGTGGTCAGTTTGTAGCTTTGATTTCTTGGGCGACTTGACTTTGCGTCCATTACACTTGTTAGAAAAACTGACTCCGTCAATGACTGTACAAATTGCCGGGAGCATCTGTTTTTTCTTTCTAGAGATCAAAACCTAACCATTTTGCGCCTATCACCATTTGTGTTCATGGTGCAAACAAACTTGCTCCCAAAATAACTTTTAACTGAGTAACTTTTGTTGACCCTTGAACATTGTTCAGTCCTTCAAGCCTTTTGTTCGTCAGGAAAACAATCACAAATGGCTTTATGCCTTTGCCCATACTGTTTATGCCCAGCAATCTTTGCTTTATATAACGGGAAAACTGTAACTAATTTTGTGGCCTTTTCTTTGCTTTGCTTTGACAAAATTAGACTGAAAGGGACTCAAGAAAGTAATGCGAATGAAAACAAGAAAGTGAACTAACAGGTATTACAACTTAATCAAGAAGTGTCCCTTTCAGGGGAAAATAAATAAGAAAGGACTTATCTGGAGGAATATGCTCACTTCAATGAACATGACATGCACTTTGGACTGGATGCCCCATCCGTTTGAACTGTCTAATTCTCGAAATTTGTTGTAAACTTCACTTTGAAACTGGGTTCTTTGTCTTAACCATGCTTGTGCCAAGATATATGAAGACCTAAATCGATCAATGATGCCCTTTGTGGGTTTTCACTAATTGACCTCTCTCATTTGTCTTTCTCTCAACTCATTATTGCCTTATAGTGCCCGTGAGGGTTTTCACCAATAAGACTCTCTCATTTATTTTTTTCTCTTTAAAATGACTGAGGATTCACCCGTAGTATACTGACTTAGCATTCTCGAAAGTTGATCAGAAGGTCTTAGCAGGGAAAGGTAAAAAGAACTATTCAACTGAATTACAACTTTTGGAACCATTTTGATGGAACAACCATCGAAAATAAAATAAAATCATGCCCTAGTTTATTTGAATACTGGGGAAATGTGAATTTTTTTTTTTGTGTGACCAAACCCGAGAGTGAGGCTGCCTACGTATCCTTTCAAAATCAAGTCGAACGTAGTTCAATTAACATGAACTTGTTTTGATGATTTTTTTTAAGTACATTAGTTCCAAAAGAGGGGAAAACAAAGAAATATAAACAAGGCTTCAAAGGGCTAACAAGGGTTGACCAGTGTTTGGGTAGCGAGAATGATAGCCTTTCATCATCCCAACCTGAGAATGCTAAATATAAAAATGGCCCAACAGAGCCATGTCATACATAGTATCTCTTGACCGCATCTGCATTGACGGATATATCAACCACCTTTCCTTCTATATCTGCCAAGTGTAGAGCTCCTTTTGACAATACTTTCTTGACGAGTTAAGGACCTTGCTAATTCGGGGCGAACTTTCCTTTTGCTTCTTCCTGGTGCGGAAAGATATGTTTCAAAATAAGTTCTCGTACCTCGAATTGTCTTGGGTGCACTTTCTTATTGTAAGCGCGTGCCATTCTTTGTTGGTATAACTGACCAAAACAAACTGCCGACAAACGTTTTTCATCAATCAAACTCAAATGTTCCAATCGGGACTTCACCCATTCAGTGTCCTCAATCCCTGCTTCAACAATGATTCGGAGAGAGGGAATCTCAATTTCAGCAAGTATGACCGCTTCAGTTCCATAAACCAATAAGTAGGGCGTTGCGCCAACTGATGTACAGACCGTTGTCTGATATCCCAAAAGAGCAAAAGGCAGTTTCTCGTGCCATTGTCTAGACCCTTGGATCATCTTCCTAAGAATCTTCTTGATGATCTTATTCGCAGTTTCAATAGATCCATTAGCCTTGGGACGGTAAGGAGTAGAATTACGATACTCAATTTTAAATTGTTCACATACCTCTTTCATCAGGTGACTATTCAAATTAGCAGTATTATCCGTGATAATGATTTTTGGAATACCGAAATGACAGATGATGTTGGAGTGAACAAAGTCTACTACTGCTTTCTTGGTAACTGCTTTCAATGTAATATCTTCCACCTATTTAGTGAAGTAATCAATTGCAACGAAGATGAATCTGTGCCCATTTGAAGCTTTTGGCTCGATTGGGCCAATGACGTCCATTCCCCAAGAAACAAAAGGCCAAAGAGCCGACATAGGATACAAATCTGAAGGAGGCGAGTGAATCAAATCATTGTGAATCTGACACTAGTGGCACTTGCGAATAAAACGAAAGCAATCTCGTTCCATAGTAAGCCAATAATATCCTGCCCAAAGGATTTTCTTTGCTAGAACATATCCATTCATGTGCGGACCACAAACTCCCAATGCACCTCATTCATAATCATTTCAGCTTCTTTGGCATCCACACATCTCAACAAATTCAAATCTGGAGTTCTTTTGTATAGGATTTCCCCACTCAAAAAGAAACCATTAGAGAGTCGCCTAATAGTTCTCTTTTGATCCCTATTAGCATGTTCTGGATATTCTCTTGTTTTCAGAAACTGTTTAGTATCACGATACCATGGTTCACCATATGGTTCTGCTTCAATTGTATTACAATAACCATGTTGATACCGAATTTTAATTTCTAATGGGTCAATGTGAGTATTACCCGGATATGGAAGCATTGAGGCCAGGGTGGCCAAGGCATCAGCTAATTCATTGTGAAACCTGGGAATGTACCTGAATTCGATGGACTTGAACCTTTTGCTAAGATCCTCCACATATTGTCTATAGGGAATGAGCTTGATGTCTCGAGTCTCCCAATCACCTTGAACCTGCCGAATAAGCAAATCTGAATCTCCTATCACCAACAGTTCATGCACATTTAGATTTATTGCCATGTTCAGACCCATGATGCAAGCTTCATATTCTGCTGTGTTGTTTGTACAGAAAAAACGAAGTCACGCCGTGGCAGGGTAATGCTGCCCAGTAGGTGATACCAGAATTTTCCCAATCCCTATGCCTTTGATGTTGACAGCCTCATCAAAGTATAGTTTCCAAATTTGACTATCATCTTGGACTACTTCTTCAACTAAATTAACCTCTCCATCTGGGAAATATGTGTTCAAAGATTCATACTCATCATCAACCGGGTTTTCTGCCAGATGATCAGCCAAAGCTTGTGCCTTCATGGCAGTGCAAGTGACATAAACAATATCAAACTCTGTGAGCAAGATTTGCCATTTTGCCAATTTGCCAGTTGGCATCGGCTTCTGAAAGATATACTTCAGGGGATCCATTCGGGATATGAGGTAAGTTGTATAGGCCAAAAGATAATGCCTAAGCTTCTGGGCGACCCAGGTTAAGGCGCAACATGTCCTTTCCAAAAGAGTGTATTTAGCCTCATAAGTGGTGAACTTTTTGCTCAAATAATATATTGCTTGTTCCCTTTTGCTTGTGGCATTATGTTGACCCAGAACACAACCAAGGAACTATCCATTACTGACAGATATAAAAACAGAGGCCTACCAGATTCCGGCGGGACCAAAACAAGGAGATTTGACAAATATTCCTTGATCTTATCAAAAGCTTCTTGGCACTCATCTGTCCACTTGATAGCGGCGTTCTTTTTCAACAACTTAAAAATAGGCTCACATGTGGTTGTAAGTTGCGCGATGAACCTGCTGATGTAATTCAACCTCCCGAGTAAACTCATGACTTCTGTTTTGTTCTTCGGGGGAGGCAGCCCTCGAATGGTCTTTATCTTGGAGGGATCTAACTCAATGCCTCTTCGACTAACTATAAAACAACAAAGCTTCCCAGAAGGAACTCCAAATGCACATTTGGCTGGATTGAGTTTGATATTGTACCTTCGTAGCCTTTCAAAGAACTTTTTCAAGTCTTGCACATGGTCAGCTTGTGTTCTCGACTTAATGATCACATCATCAACGTACACTTCAATCTCTTTGTGCATCATGTCATGGAATATGGTAGTAATGGCTCTCATGTAAGTTGCCCCTGCATTCTTCAACCCGAATGGCATGACCCTATAACAATAAGTTCCCCATAGAGTTATGAAGGCGGTCTTTTCTACATCTTCTTTATCCATCAGAATTTGGTGATATCCGGCATAACAATCCACAAAAGATTGGATTTCATGTTTAGCACAATTATCAACAAGGATATGAATGTTGGGTAAGGGAAAGTTGTCCTTTGGACTTGCTTTGTTTAAATCCCTATAGTCAACACAAACTCTGATTTTCCCATCCTTCTTTGGCACTGGCACAACATTTGCTAACCATGTAGTGTATCGGACGACCCTGATCACATTTGTCTTAGTTGCTTCGTGATTTCTTCTTTAATCTTATCACTCATGTCTGTCTTAAACTTCCTTTGTTTTTGCTGGATTGGTGGAAGATTAGGATGTGTGGGAAGCTTATGGACCACTAAATCGTCACTTAAACCCGGCATGTCATCATACGACCAAGAAAATACATCTTTGTACTCGAACAAAACTTGAATTATGGCATCTCTCGTCTTTTGTTCAGTATGAATGCTTATTTTTGTTTCTATGGTTTCTTCAGGACTTCCCAAGTTAATTGCCTTAGTTTCATTTAAGTTAGGCCTAGGCTTATTCTCAAATTGATCCAATTCCCTTTTTATTTTCCTAAAAGACTCATCTCCGTCATACTCAACTTCTTGATTCATTATTTCGATATTAGACAATGATCTGGGCATGAATTCCACGTGCATGTCATGTTTTTAAAGCCAGCATTATTGAAACTGAAAATGATAAGAAATTAACAAAAATTAGGGAAATAAAAATATAGAATTTTACTACGAAAATGGAACTTCATTTCATTGAATTTGAAAGGATAGAAAGGTTAACATCACAACAAAGCAATTAAACTAAAATATCTGGATTATAACCCTTAAAATAATCCAAATACAGAAAAAACAATAAAACAGGCTACCAAGACTCCTTCCTGATGGGAAGAGGAGTTGCTTCCCAGTTGCTGAGCGAGGTATCTGGACCAATCAGCTGAACACTTGCACGGCTAGGGCCCTCCCCAACTTGAACCATATTAATTTCATAGAACATCTCCTTGACACCCTGGCAAACTCCATCAATGTCATCCTGAGTAGAAGGATTTTGGATTTCTTGAAATTGTGGCTTGACAAAAGAGTAGGCAATGTGAAGGATTGGTTTGGACAGATTCCAACCATTCTTTTTGCGGACCTTGGCTCTATCTATGTCAGCTGATGTTGGTTTAAAACCCAATTCAAGGGAACTTTCTTCGAAAAGGGAGCAATGGGGTTCACAATTCCTTGCAGAGAGGATCTTAATCCTTTTCCTGGTTCATAGCCGTTCCTCAACATCAGCGAAGCTACCATCATAGATGTGGCTGAAAGACAGGGATGCATAATTGGTTTTCCTTCTTCCACTTAGTCCACCTCAATCACCTCAAATGCTTGATATATGATGGATTCACATCCTTCCTTGGCCTCGATACATGGAATGGATGGGTCTTTATAGACGGATGAGTCGTCCTCCCCATGAACAACAATTTCTTGCCTGTCATACTCGAATTTGACCATTTGATGTAGGGTGGATCGTATAGTTCTGGCCATATGGATCCACGGCCTTCCCAGAAGAAAATTATAGAAAGTTTCCATATCCAACACTTGAAAGACAATGTTAAAATCAACCGGGCCGATTGTCATGGTGAGTTCGGTTTCCCCAATAGTGTCTCTTCTTGAACCATCAAAAGCTCTAATGCTGACATTACTAGTTCGAATTCTGTTAGTGTCAATGTTCAGCTGTTGTAGAGTAGAAAGAGGACATACATCTACACTTGAGCCTCCGTCAATAATGACTCCTTTTATGTAGTGCCCTTCACATTTGACCATAAGATGCAAAGCTCTATTGTGGCCAGCCCCTTCCTTAGGAAAATCATCATCGTTGAAAGTAATTCTATTTATTTCAAAGAATCTTTCAACCATTTTTTCTAGCTGATTCACCGTTGTTTTTCTGAGACATATGCCTCGTTCAGAGTTTTGATCAACACACGGCGATGCTCTTCTGAATGCAAAAGCAGAGATAACAAAGATATCTGAGAAGGAGTTTTCCTTAGTTGGTCAATGATTGAGTAGTCTTGCATTTTCATCTTCTTAAGGAATTCCTCCGCTTCTTTTTCTGCAATGGGTTCTTTCACTGGCAAGTGACTTTCCCTGGCTTGCTTAGCTTTTCTCAATTCCTCTGGTGAATAACACCTTCCAGAGCAGGTCAAGCCCCCTATTTCACCTGTTTCTTCAACTATCTATTTTCCTTTGTATCTCATGACAGTCTTGTTATAATTCTAGGGAATAGCTTTCGTGTTTGTCACTGGGAGTTGGGCAACAGGTTGGATCACGACTGGCTCTGTAACATTTCTCAAACCATTATTCGGAATGATCTTTTGAACGCCCCCGGGGATGTAAAGTTTTGGCCCACCCAATTGAACCTCAACCTTTTTTGTGCTTCCAGGAACATAGAGAATCATTTTTTCAGAACCTGCCAAATTCAAACTAGAACTCGCACCTTTCATAATCAACGGTGCCAATTGCAGCTGGCTCACTATCACTTTTGGTTCTGGCCCTATGGTTCTAACAACCATCTTTGTCTTGCCAGACTGCTTATAATCCCGATCATCATAAATCATCCCAATAAAATGTGTATTATCATGAGTTGGGAGCGGATTGTTTGTGATATTAGGAGTATCCTCATTGTTTGTTACCACAATTGCCTTTGCTTCAATCAAATTTTCAATGGCTTTNCTAGTGGCTTTCTTTAATGTCCAAAAATTTTCGGTACTATGACCTTGGGTGTTAGAGTGATACTCACATCTTGTATTTGAGTCAAAACCTTTTGAATTTGGATTC